TTCGGCTTCATTACGAGTAGCGACATTGTTTTTTGAGTATCAGGTATTGATATTATTTAAAATAGGAAATCGAAAATCTGCATATACATAATCGATAAAGATCCGCAATCGAAATCTGCATATATAATCGACAAGATCCGCAATCGTAAAAAAAAAAATATCGCATGATAATTTTCAACGACTTCACTAGCCCCCTAAGTAAATTTTTTACGATGTGTACTACCAAAATTCGTGATATTAACTCGGTAGTAATCAGTTAATTGCTATAGCAGCTGCCAATTTGTTCTTTCAAAAATTTTGTAGCTATGGCTCCTAGATTCTTTGTCGGTGGTAAGTTGCTTTAGAGTACGATATTTATATTTATATTATTAATTGTTATATCTCATTTTTTAAAGGTAACTTCAAAATGAATGGCACACAAACCTTCCTTAGAAATCTGATTGACAATTTAAATGCTGGTCAATTGGATGAGAACGCTGGTCAGAATTTTAATTTTGTTTATATCGATTTTGTTAAGAGTTGAAAGAAGTTGCTTATCTATCGTCGTCTTTATTATAGAAGTGGTTATTGCACCACCAGCATTGTATCTCGATCAATGTCGTAAACAAGCTCGTAAAGAAATTGGTGTTGCGGCTCAGAATGCGTTTAATGCTTCTAGTGGTGCTTACACTGGGGAAATCAGGTATATTTTGGTATTTTGTTTTCGATGCTTAAATAATATTCGGTATACGATTTTATGTGTATTATATTTACCTTTTGAAAATGATAGCCCTGAACAATTAAAGGATCTTGGTATTGAATGGGTTATTCTTGGTCATTCAGAGCGTCGTGAAATTTTCAAAGAATCTGATGAGGTGTGTTAATTTCATTATTCCTATTCTCTTTTATTTGATCAAACATTTAATACTTGACAAATTTTTTAGTTTGTTGCTGCAAAGGTAGCATTCGCATTAAAGTCTGGTATAAAGGTGATCGCTTGTATTGGAGAAAAACTTAATGAACGAGAATCCGGTCAAACATTTGAAGTTGTAACTCGACAGCTTCAAGCAATCGCCAAAGAAATTAACGATTGGACAAATGTCGTGATCGCCTATGAACCAGTTTGGGCAATTGGAACAGGAAAGGTAGCAACGCCTCAACAGGTACACATCATCGATTTATTTTTGGTTGAATTATAACTTTACAGAAGAAAATTGTAAATTATAAATTTTTTTCGTGTTAGGCCCAAGAAGTTCATGAATATATTCGAAAATGGTTAAGAGAAAATGTATCAGAAGCTACGGCCGAACAAACACGTATTATTTACGGAGGTAATATAGATTAAATGCTTTTAGCGAAACTTTTCTTGGTATCTAATGAATTCTACCCTTATTCATCATATATAGGTTCTGTAAATGCTTCTAATGCCGCAGAGCTTGGTAGGATTATCACCAATTTTTTTGCGAAATAAATTTTGTAACGCTTATAATTATCTAATTAAATTCCTTTCTTTTAATTTGATCTTTACAGCAAAACAAAAAGATGTTGACGGATTCCTCGTGGGTGGTGCATCTCTGAAGCCAGAATTCGTTAATATCGTGAATGCTCGTATTTAACTAATAATTTATTTAAAAAGATTTAATTTAAAAATTTTGAATAAAATATTTAATAAAATATAAGCTTGATGGTTGTGATGTGTCATCTTAAATCAAGTTTGATACTACCATCGTTTTCAAAATAGTATAAAATTCAGGTTTTCAGTAATCATCAGTATTCGTTGATCTGTCACTTAAATCTTTACAGTGCAGTATGATTAACAGTGGAAATTGTTAAAGGGAACTAATCCACCTCTTATACCAATTGCAACAAAATAAACAAAATACAAAAAAAAAATTTATATTTATGAAATTATAAATATTTATTAAGCATTTTAATATACAGCATTACAATACAAGAAAATTTCGTAGGTTTTAGTTAATATTTATGCAGATACAAAGTTTTCTAAATTTCCTAAACTGATAAAGGCTATTATACGTTCCCTAAAATTCCGTTTCCATAAAACTTGACTTGTTACATTCTGGACACTTTGATGCTGTATAAGGTAACATCCGACGAGAACACCGGTATGGCGGTATCATTTACAGCCAAAAAACGAATCAGAATGATAGTGTATATATGGGCTTATGGATGGTACTACTAAAGGCTTACTAACCAAGCCAGAACCTACAACCAATTCACGCTTTCAGCGAAAAAATAGGAAGCCAGGTTCTTAAAAGTTTCGTCAAAAAATACCTCTAGATGAAACCAAGAGCAAGATCTAGAAATTGCGGGGGTCAACACGAAATTGAAATGGAAGCTCCTTCTCGCAGAACCCTTATAAAAGATATCTACTAAATAAAGAATGGATCTAAATATAATGAAATTCAAATAATACGCATTCTTTGTTATCATTTCCTTTTTTTTAATCGATAAATTTCTACATTTATATTACCAATATCATCATCTAATTCTTTAAAAATAAATTTCTTCAATTTTTTTTCAGGAATTTTAACAACATTAAAACCACCTTTACATGCGTTCACAAAAGTTTCAGTAACCAATGGATCTCTTCTCTCCAATCCACAAAAGATCAAAGACTTTTCATTAGATAATTCATTTATACATCTGACAAAATGATTAATAAGATCTAAAGAATATATACAATCAGTCGCAACAATATAATCATAAGGTGGTGTAAATTCTGGAGGTTGTAACTTTGTTACGGTCCAATCCAAAATTTTTACTTGAGCATTCAAGAGAGAATTATTATTCTCTTGCTGATGTTGATTCAATATCCACAAGTTACGCTTAACATTATCTTGAAGAATATTTACTACCACACATTCTAAATCTGTTAAAGTCGTTTGTAGACCCATAGAACACATAACTAAACCCAATAAACCACATCCGCTTCCCAATTCAATGCATTTCTTATTAATTAGTGAATTATTAGAAGAACGTAAAAAATGTTGCATGAATTGAGCGGTTATAATGGAAGAATCCCATATTGTGGTGCCATGATTTAAAGAGTCATTTTGTTGTTTTATAGATAAAATGGTGCCATTAGAAATTTTGAATTCATAAATTTCTTGTGAATTTTGTGAATTTGTTTGATTTGTTTGTTTGCGGTCAAAAACACTCATTTTAAGAGTTTCGTGATGAGAGTCATGTGTTAATAGTTGTTTACGTTCTACGTATTCGTCATCTTACATAAAAATAATTGCACGTGCTTTTTTCTAAGATAATCGACTAATCGAAGAAACGTTATAAATTCCACACAATCTTCTATAGCATATTACATTCCTGAAACATAATGGCTGGCTCTTATGATCGCGGTAGGCTTAATTGTAATATAAGATAACAACAGTTATAAGTTAAACTAATATATTTATTTTAATAAAATTTGATAGCTTTGACCGTCTTTTCACCAGACGGTCACTTATTCCAAGTCGAATATGCTTTGGAAGCAGTGAGAAAAGGAACATGTGCGGTATGTATTGATATACTAACGGTTCATTTTGAGGTTTACTGTATTTCAGTAACCACATTATGAAAATTCTATATATTGGTATGTAATTATGACGTGTGAATTATATTTTCAATTTATATAGGTCGGAGTTCGAGGAGAGGATTGTGTAGTTCTTGGTGTGGAAAAAAAGTCTGTTCTTAAACTACAAGATCCTCGAACTGTGCGTAAAATAGTCACACTTGATGACCACGTATGCATGGCCTTTGCTGGTATTATGATCTTTTTTGATTTAATTTTTTTTTTTTTTTTTTACAATTGAGCATTTGATTTATTTTTTCCTTTTGTTAGGTCTCAGCGCAGACGCAAGAGTTCTTGTTAATAAGGCTAGAATAGAATGTCAAAGCCATAGACTCACTGTGGAAGATCCAGTTACAATAGAATATATCACGCGCTACATTGCTGGAATTCAACAGGTGCGTAAAGAGAAGTTAATATACTAAATCAAGACGGACTGATTTAAATATTAAGTAATTTTTTTTTTATCTTAGAGATACACACAAAGTGGTGGTGTTCGGCCTTTCGGAATTTCAACACTTATTATTGGATTTGACGCAAATGATAAAATACCAAGACTTTATCAAACAGATCCGTCGGGTATATATTCTGCATGGAAGGTAAATTTATACATAAAATTAGTTTCTGGAGCTGTTATTTAATTGACTGTACAATACGCACTCATTCATAATACGCGTTAAAAATTAAAATATTCCCAAATAGGCAAACGCAATTGGCAGAAGTTCAAAAACTGTTCGTGAATTCTTGGAAAAGAATTATAAGGAAGGTTTGACAAAAGAAGAATCCATCAAATTAGCAGCTAAGTCTCTTTTGGAGGTAGGTATTTAATAAAAACAATTATTTCAAATATTTACGTATTTTTTTTTTGTGTGTTAAATAATTATATTTTATATTTTAGGTGGTACAAACTGGAGCCAAGAATATTGAGATTGCAGTTATGACAAGTGATAGTGTGATCAAGGTAAGAATGTACAGGTATTTTAATTATTTTTAGTATATCATTATTATAATACTAAACTCATTTTAACTGCAAAGAATTTGGATATCGATGAAGTTGAAGCTATTGTTAATGAAATTGAAAAGGAAAAAGAGGCTGAGGCAGAAAAGAAAAAGAAGCCATCGACTTCCACTGCTCAATAAATAAAAACAATTTATTTTTTTTTAACAACTCTTTGAGATTGTGTTATTATGTATGTCTAAGAATAAGAAAAATATATGAAAGTTATAAAAGATAATGGGATCAGAAAAATTTAATTTAACAAACAAATTCATTTTCCTTGAAATAAAATATTATTAAATATCTTTGAATTTAAATAAATTAGTAAATTTAATGTTTAAAAAAATTTCATGAAGTTTTGAGATGTCATGTGAAATTAAAATATTTATTAGTTTGAATATCTTCAAGAGAAAAATAATTTTCGAATTAAACTATAAAATGGCTTCGATAGTGTAGTGGTTATCACGTAAGCTTTACACGCTTAATGTCCTCGGTTCGAACCCGAGTCGAAGCAATTGGTATTCTATTTTTGTCTTTTTGATTCTACTCGTGACAATGTTACACATCTTTAATAAAATCGGCAATGGTTTTACGAATTATGGACCCATTCAGTATTTGTTAAATCTTCATTTGTAACTTTTCAGCGGGTTTTAATGTATAGTGCCGGCCCGAGTTGGTTTTTTTTAGATCGGCTAAAAAAAAATGACAGCCTCAATTTTGGTTAGTCACGTCTATATCAGATATGCAGTAATAATAATGTAATAATACAAATATTTAAGGGTAAACTTTATTAAATCGGGATATCCGATATTTTTAGTTCTTAAATCCTGATCAACATCATTTAAATATAAATTGATAAGGCATATAATGATTAATATGGTAGAATCCGCAATTTTACCGAAAGTTAACTTTAGTGCTGTGCTTTTGTTACTTAAAATGACCATTGTACAATATATTTATGACGCATCTACTGTCTCACCACGTGATAGATTAGAAAGTCCACAATGACACTTTTTTTTTGCACCTAACCATTTTAAGTATTTTTCATAATGACAAGTGAACAATACTGCAATAACGAGATATAAAAACTTTTAAGTTTTAGGCCTCTTACCAAACGGATTTAGTACTTTAGACATTCCGTTTAAAACTAATAATTTTTGATTAGTGACGACAGCTCTTTGCGTTAGTCACAGTTCACCATTGTTATACTCGTTTATTGGTATATCTGGAAGTCCTTTCGTGCTTTCTGCCCGATTGTTCTCAGGAGGGCTTTTTCTTTTTTCTCGAAAATAAATGAAAAGAGTTAAATCTCATTTTCATTCTTTATTATATCTTCTAAACGCCCTTTTCTTTTACTTTTGTTTAAAGTATCCTCATTGCTACTCATCGCTTAAGCCAGAAGTTCATGAAATATAATTTAATTTCAACTAAAGACTTTATCTCATCAGGTTCAAATTTACCTTCTTCAAATGTTCTTTATGAAAATAATGCAAGAATAGTGTTTCCATCACCAATTTCAACGGATTCTTTATCATCACCAAATTTGCGTTTTTCAAATTCATCTTTGAAATTGCAATCCACAAAAGACTATCGGGCAACTTCAACTGATTCAATGCGTACTTCATATTTAAATTTTACATACTCACCTATTTTGAGTTCATCTTTGAAATTACCAGCTGCTTCCCAGAGTTCGATTTCATCTCAAAATTTACCTGCATCTTCACCAGTATGGTGGTCATTTCCATATTTTAAATATATGATCGCAAAGGATAATCGAAGAGTCAAATTTGGTCCTATTACTCAAATCTTATTTGATGGTTCATTATCTTTGCCAAATCCAGAGCAATATTATTGCTCTTTATTTCTTCATCCAGAATTATTGGAACGACAAAGGCAAGAGGAAGCTATAGCGGAAGCAGCCGCAGCGAAAGTGGAAGATGATATGCTGAAAATAGATATGCATGTAAAGTGGGCCGATTTTGCGGTTGAAGTTATCTGGCGCATGTTGCCAAAATTACCACTGAACGAAAAAAAGTCAAATCCTAGTGAGAATTTTAGAGAATTTAGTTATAATGTAGGTAATTGTTTTATATTATATTATATTGTCATTATTTTTTGAAGTATCAATTGATTCTAAAAATTTTTATTTTTATTTATTTATTTTTAATTATAAAAGCTTATAAAAGCCACAGACTGTTTAGGTCCTGTGATAATAATAATGCTTAGATATGTTCAAAGGATTATATTGAGTGGTAAAGATTTTGATATATATCCTTATGAACCAGAGTTTGTCTTGCTTGTAGTTGGATTGGTTTTGGCTCATAAATGGCTTGAAGATTTTACATATTCAAACAAATCCTGGGCTGAAATGTCAGGAATACCATTAGAACTATTAGGCAATATGGAACGAGAATTCTTGTATATTTTAGATAATTCTATTTACATTAGTGAGGAAGAATATAATTGTTGGCTCATGTCTTTATTCAATTATCAATATACAGATATTAATGTTAATGTACAACATTACCAGGGAAGAAATAATTGCTCTTGGCCTAGAGTGAATTTTCAGTCAGCTGTTGGAGCTGTGAACACTGAATTGAATAAAAAAAAATTGGAAGTAGATTTCAGTACTATAATTGACTTGATCACAGATGATCTGGAGAGTCTGTATAATGAAAATTCTCCTTTAACTTGTCCATTAACTCCAAAAGATGATTCTTTACCCACAACAACATCGAAAGTCTTTCATAATTCTTGTGATATTATTAGTACGAGATGGTGACTTATAAATGAGTTGATGATATATAATTTTTTCATGAAACTTTGGTAACTATGGTTTAGTATCATTTTTTGAATTCATAGAACCTTCTTGATGAGCTTATATATAAGTTTTATTTTTCTTTTTATTATATTTCTTAAATTAAAAAAAAAAATAGAAAAAAAAAGAAAATTGTGTTTTTTATTATTATGAGCATGAGGATTTAATATGTATAGAGTAATCGAGTATTCATAATCTCTTTTAAATACGTATATAGATAGGATAGGATAGGGGAAGACATTTTTTCCTAAATATGACGAAAAATTTTAATGACGAATTAAATTTTGAACTTTTATTTCTAAATGGTTCTTTACCATAAGTATAAATGATGTTTTATTTTATACTTTATGGTAATTTTTTTTTGTTTTTTTTTAAAGATCAAACAATTTATTAATGTAAATATTAAAATATAAATAAATAAACATTTTGTCAAATAATTATTTGTTTATTCTGTAATTATAATTCCTGCAGTCGTAAGAATGAATTCCTAAAGACGCTATTATTATAGAATGTTGACTAACTTTCGTTCTTATATCTAAATAATTGGCTCACAAAATTCCAAAAAAGCTCTTTAACGGGAGTGATAACTAGTAAAATGAAGAAAGATGATGTCATTATCGCTAATGTTACGGAAAACCCGGAATCAAAAAATCAAACCAGTAGTACAGTAAACATTCAAAAGTCCATAAACATTAAAATCATATAAATGATCAAGTGATCCTCTACAATTCCCAAGAATGTTGATAATTTTAACTTCTAATATATGCAAACTGATCTTCAATCATGTTACACAGATAATCTGCTCAATATAATAGATTTTTTTTCTCCATCAATAATTCTTGTAGAAATATGCTTTCGAATCGTTTTTTTAATATAAGAAAAAATTATAATTTTAAAAATTATAGTAAACTTTATTTTATCAAATGTCATCAAAGAATTACAAGTTTGTCAGGAAATAATGAAATAAGATCAAGGATAAATGATGTACAAAAACCGTCAAAAAAATTAGGAAAAAGTTATGATCCTGTAAGATAAATGAAAATAAATAAAATTTAGTTAAATTCCTTAAGAATAATCTTTACATTTTGTAATTTTTATATGTAAAGGCTGCGGTTGAGCAAGGATGGTACGATTGGTGGGATCATAAAGGTATGCTCAATCAAAATAACTAACAAAAAGTTTACTCTTTTATTTTAATTAATTATATATATATATATATATATATTTTTTACATATAAAGGATTCTTCGGAATAACGAATTCAGACGATAAGGAACAAAAAAGGTTTATTATGCTTTCGCCACCCCCAAACGTTACAGGGTATTTACATATAGGACATGCGTTGACTTTTAGTATACAAGTAAAGATTTAATAATATATTGACTTATAATTATTTATAAAGAATTAAAATATATAATTATATTTTTAAATAGGATGCCCTAAGTAGATGGTATCGAATGTCTGGAGATAGAGTAACTTGGATACCTGGAACAGATCATGCTGGTATTGGAACTCAGTCGGTTGTTGAAAAAAAACTTTTTAAAGAAAAAAATGTAGGAATAAAGATTAAAGAATACATTATATTATATTTTTGATAAAGAAATTTTTAAACAACTCTTTTGTTCTGATAGATTACTCGACATGATCTTGGAAGAGAGAATTTTGTCAAAGAAGTTTGGAATTGGCGTGAACTTCATGGTGACAAGATAATTCATCAATTGGTAATGAATATATGTATCATTTTATATTAACTTTATTATTGTACTAAAAATTTTTGAAAAACATTTAAGAGACGTTTGGGATCTTCATTAGATTGGAATAATTTATTTTTTACAATGGATGCCCCACGCTCAAAAGCTGTAACAAATGCATTCATTAGATTATACAATGATGGAATGATTTATCGGGACACTAAATTAGTTAATTGGTGTTGTGCTTTGGGAACTGTTATTTCTGATATCGAAGTAAGATAAATTATTTTAGAGTATTATTGTTATTAAATTTGGGTTATGCACAATATTTTTTAATTATAATTTTGCAAAGGTAGATTACCAATCTATTTCTGAACAGACTTTTTTGAAATTACCTGGAAGAGAGGAAGAGTAATTAAAAATTTTCAAAATTTTTGCATACATTATTTTGTGAGAAAGATAACTAATTTTTATTTCATTTTTACTTAGAGTTGAGTTTGGTATTCTTCATAGATTCGCATATCCTATAGCTGACAACACTTCAGATTTGAAAGAATTAGTTGTGGCTACGACGAGGATCGAGACGATATTAGGAGATACTGCTGTTGCTATACATCCCGATGATCCTCGTTACAATGTATGATTTAGAAAGAGAAATATTAAATCTAAATCATCTTATTTTTATTTAAATTTTTCTTTAAAAATATCATAGAGTTTACATGGAAAATATGTTATACATCCTTTACTTAATAAAAGAATTCCAATTGTGTGCGATCCTGAACTTGTTGATATGGAATTTGGAACAGGTGTTGTAAAAGTAAGTGAAAGGACATGCACATATAACTTTTTTCAACTGAATTATGACGTTAATTTTTTTTTAATGATTTATTTTGAATTAGGTAACACCTGGACATGATATGAATGACTATGCTTGTGCACGTAGGAATCAGTTGCCTGTTATAAATATATTTAATAAGAATGGGACATTAAATGACAATTGTGGAAT